CTTATTTGTTGACACTCCTGTGTGCCAATCACTTGCTTCTGCTGGCTCCTGCCGCTCTCCCATCCCCTGTCAAGTGTTCGAGTCTAAATTCTAGTCTGCCTTTCCAGTCACATCTCTCCTCCTCTGTGCTGGGTAGATTTATGTCAACTTGACACCGTCTACAGTCATCTGACAAGAGGGAACCTTCCTTTTTGAGAAATAAAGAAAATGCCTCCATAAGTGGACCCTGTGGACCAACCTGTAGAATAGTTTTTGAATTTGTTATGAATGGAGAGGACCCAGCCCATGGTGTGTAGTGTGATTCCTGGGCTGGTGTCCTGGGTTCTGTATGAAAGCAGGCTAAGAACACCATTCTAAGAAAGCCAGTAAGAAGCAGCATTCCATAGCCTCAACATCAGCTCCTGACTTCAGGAGGTTGCCATGTTTGGGTTCCTGTTCTGAATTCTTGAAACGATGACCAGTGCTGTGGAATGTGAGAAACAGAAACTCTTTCCTCCCCAACTTGCTTTTTAATCTTGGTGTTTCCTTCATCACAGAATTAGAAACCCTGTCTAAGACATCCCCCTATTGTGCCCACTCCTCTGTCCACCCCTATAGGAGACCCACTCTGACCTGTTGAAAGTTTTTTGGGGGCAGAAGTGAGGAATAAGGAAGTTTTAGATAGCAATATAGGCCTAGATGAAAAAAAAGACAGAGACACAGGATAGCTTCAGGAGGGCCCTGGGTCAATACCCAGTCTCCCCAAGTTTAATCATGATGGGCTTTTCATCCATTAACAAGGGGAGGAACAAAAGACCTCCCCCCTTCAAGATCAAAGCACAATATAAAACCAAATATAGATCCTTCAAAATACCACCTAACTATTCTATTGGCCAAATAATCTTATTATGCAGTCCTGCTGGGTAAAGCAAGCTTATATTTTCTAACCTTGAGTAAGGCCTGACTATGGAGCCTCTGTGGGCCCCCAAAACCCCTGCTTGCTTAAGTAACATTTTCGAACTTCCTCCTCTGTGTCTGTCTTTCTCATTACATCACTGGAGCCTGCTCTCTCTCTGTCTTTCTGAACTCCTGAAGTGTATGGGACAAAAGTCCCACTGTTCATCAGGTAGCTCCCCTATGCACTTCTGTGCACCCCATCCTCTGTAAAGGAACATCTGTTCACTGAGCATCTTTCTGAGGAGTCTAGTTCTCTATGGGACACCCTCAGACTGAGACTCTGTCCCTGCATCACTCACTGCATCCCTCCCTGTGCCTTTGTTCCTGTGCTATCGGTATCCCTCTCCTGGTGGGATTCCTCTGCCCTCCTCTCTAAGTCTCTCCCACTTCCTCCTCACTCTGAAGTTCTCAACTGCTGCCTTTTCAAGGTTGTCTTTCTTCCTGCTTGCTCTGTCTCTCTCACTTGATCAATCATGGGCCCTTTCCATTCCAAAAGTGACTCCCCAGTTCTACTTGCTTCTATCTTTAAGTCTCTTTCCCACCTCACACTTACAGATCTCAGTAAGTCTCACTACCTTATTTTTTACTGTAATATGGCCTGGCTGTGATATAAACTTGACACTCATTCTCAATGTTCAATAAATGACATGTTCAACTACCCAATGCTCACTGATTTGGACAATTTCTGCCAATGCACAGGCAAATGGTCTGACACCCTCTATGTTCAGGCCTTCTTTGACCTCATTTCTCTCTCCTCCCTCTGTGCCTCTTGCTATGCTCACCAGATTCTCCTGACAATGACCAACCTCCTCCTAAAGCTCATCAGAACCTGGAGCCCTCAGCCCCTCTCCTTTCAGCTTTGAAATCTAGGACATGACCCTTCTGTGGGTGCTGATATAGTCTTTAAACTTCCCTCAGAAACATCTCATGCCAGGCCCCCATCCTCCACATTGCTCTTAAGGTTTGTCTCTACCGAGATCCCACAAAACATCCCACTGAGCTCACAATACTCAGTGGCTCTTCTACCCCATAATTTCAAAGTCCTTCACAATCCTCCTCAAACAATAGTAGGACTGTCAGAGCAGTACCCCCTAGATAGGTACAAAGTTGTCTTAATTAGGGTTTTCTATTGCTGGGACATAACATTATGACCAAAGACCAACTTGGAGAGAAAGGGCTTATATGGCTGACACTTCCATATTGCTGTTCATCATGAAAGGAAGTTAGGACAGGAACTCAAAAGGGAAAGACCTTGGAGACAGGCGCTGATGCAGAGGCCTTGGAGAGGAGGGGTGTTGCTTGCTGGCTTGCTTCCCCTTTCTAGTTCAGTATGCTTTCTTATAGAACCACCAGCCCAGGGATGGCACCACCCACAATGAGCTGGGCCCTACCCAATCAATAACTAATTAGGAAAATGCCTTACAGCCAGATCATGGAAGTATATTCTCAATTAAGATTCCATTCTTTCAATAAACTCTAGTTTGTGTGTTGAGTTGACATAAGACCAGTAAGTACAGGGACTATGAACAAAGTAGTAATGGTAACAGAGATGGTAATTATGCATGGACCTGATACTAGGGACCACAGCAAAGCTGACCTGGGCGTATATGCTGCTGATTGCCAAATCTTCCAGCAGCAGAGACCAACACTGAGCCTTAGATATGACACCATTCTCCTGGATAACTAAGCAAGGACCTGGTAGCAGGCTAACTACATTGGATCACTTCCTACATGGGATGAACAATGCTTTGTCCTTACTAGCAGACACTTATTCTGGCTATGGATTTGCCATTCTATGTGTAATGATTCTGCCAAGACCATCACCTGTGGATTTAAAGAATGACTTATCCACTGACATGCTATTCCACAAAGAATTACTTCTGGTCAACAAACTCACTTCACAGCCACAGAATATAACAGTGGGCTCACAATCATGGATTCCCCTGGTCTTACCACTCCCCACCATCCTGAATCAGCTGTCTTGATAGAGATGGAATCGTCTTTTTATGACATAGTTGCAGTACCAGTGAGGCAGGAGCAGTCTGGATGGCTGGAGAAGCATTTTTTTTAGAAGGTGATACATGCTTCAAATCATTGTCTACCGTGTGGTATGTTTTCTTCTTATCCAGAATCAATAGGTCCAGGAGTTAAGAGGTGAAAAGTGAATGGTTCCCCTTGCTTTCATCCCTAGTGAGCTACTATAAAGACTGTTTTATTCCTATGCCACAAATTTTAAATTCTGCTGGCCTAGAAGTTTTGGTTGTAAAGGAGGGATGTCTCCTGCCAAGAGACAACAAACAATTCACTGACCTGAAAGCTCAGACTTCTTCCTGGCCACTTTGGGCTTCTGATACCTTTTATCCAACAGTCTAAGAATAGAATAACTGTGTTAGGTGGAGTGATTAGTTCTAATTACCAAGCAGAATTGGATTGTTTCTCCACAGTGGATGGAAGAATGGTTATATCTAGTGATTAGGTGATCTTTAGGACATCTCTTTGTGTTACTCTGTTCTGAGATTAAAGTCATGGGAACTACAAGAACCTGATTCAGTCAGGATGGCAAAGGGCATGAAGGCATGGGTCACTTCGCCAGGAAAGAACAAAGACCAGGTGAGGTGTTTGCTGAGTGTACAGGAAATACAGAATGTATAATAGAGGAACATAAGTATAAATACCAAGAAACACAGCCACCTTTTATAAAATTAATAATGCGTCTGTGGTCTGATAAATGATAGTTGTAACAGGTTTGGTGTAATTATGATCTGATTAAATATGTAATGCATTTGCAATTTTGCCTGGGATAGTTAAGCCATGTAAGACATAGCTAAGACCTTGGTATTGTTCTCCCAATTAGGGAGATATGATGGTGTGTCAAGTGGACAATGGGTGCACTTGTGATGTCTGTTATTGACTGTAAACTTTATTTCATCTGGATTTAACATAACCCAAGGAGCTGGGGATACCTGTGAGAAATTTTTCTTTGTAATTTTTGTTTGTTTGTTTGTTTGTTTGTTTGAGTTAGGGTTTCTCTGTGTAGCCCTAGTTATCCTAGAACTCATTCTGTAGCCCAGGATGGCCTCAAACTCAGAGATTTGCGTGCCTCTGTCTCTTGAGTGCTAGACTCAATGCATGGGACACCACCATCTGGTGAGGAAATTTTTCTTAATTAAATACTTTTAAGTGGGAAGAGGCACTTTTAATCTGGATATTTTGAGGTGGGAACAACCACCTTGAATCTGAGACACACTTTCTACTGGCAGCCTATATAAAGGACATGGAAGAAAAATGCTTGCTCTCTTTGCCTGCTTGTTCTCACTCTCACTGGCAAGTCCACTTCCTTCATTGG